AAAAACACACGCCAACGCCAATCAAATGCTCCGCTCACAAAACCTTTCCAACCCTCCACATACCAATACTCAACAACTACTCCACATCATCACATCAAGACCGAACTCCAGGGATAAAAAAAAAAATGGGGTATGTAGGACGAAGAGGATGCCACAGCCTCGAACGGTAACTGCTGTACGTTTTCGGAAAGGAACGCTTGTTTGGGGATCGGCACACCTGCCCAGCACTCGTGAGGCACGTCCGTCTCCACCAGGTACTGGTGCACCAGCAAAAGCGCGTCTGGGAGTGCCCCCAGGACCAGCACCTACACACGAAACGAACATACCACAGCAGGCAACAAAACAAACGCGCAAGACGATTAGGTTCCAGAGGAGGAAGGGAACCGGCACCTCACCAGCGAACAAGTAACAGCAGGCAATACAATCGCGGCCGAACGATTGGGCGATGGCTCCCAAGTGGCGAAGGAAATAAGTCGGCACTATTGTGCCCCTAGAACCAGCAGCAACGAACGAACAGAGATACAGCAGGCAAAAATGACGCGGAAAAGGACTGCTAGGCGATGGGTTCCACGGGTGAACGGAGGGAATCGGCCGATTTGATTGGGTGATTACTTTCCTGCGTAGACAAGAAGCACATTTGCCGAAACACTTCACGCTCCGGGGGGGGGAGGGGGGGGCATCCAGTCGAACGTGGCATCACGTGGTGTGTATCCAACCATCAGAGCCACAAGATAACCAGCACAACAATATAAGATAAAAAGTATTTGTGGCCGATGTTGCGCTGCTATACCAACCCACGGACAAACCAAGAAAAGAGCGTCCTCGGGGCGGCAAGGGCTTCTTTGTGCTGGCGTCGTCTGCGCGGTAGTGAAGCCATTGGTAGGCAGCAAGCTCCAATAGGATGGCACTAAGGAAGTACTACGTTCCCCGCGACGGCGAACCTCCCGCAGGAAAGGACACAGTTTCAATTCGTTTTCATTTTATGATTTATCGCATAAGACGTGATTGGACAAAAAATTGTTGTGCATAGACCATAAAATAGGTTTGATTATAAACTACCCAAGGGAAATGAGAAATAATGGGTAAAACACCACCCCTGCAAAAAAAAAAAGACGCGATAGGATTAATCGTTACCAGAGAAGGAACAAAAAGAACGAGTCTCCTCGGGCATAGGAAGAGGTTCTTCAGCGTTCGGTAAACTTCTTTTCCCACGTGCCGTGTGGTCTCGTATCTACCTTCTTTCCAGCTGCGGCGAGTCGCGTCACAGCCCTGCCAAGCTTGGCCAGCTTGCCGGAGTACTTCTCTAATCGCTCCGGGACGCTGAGCTCCAAGTCCTGCCAAATTCAAACAAGCAGAAAAAAATAGGAATGAACGAGCCATGTAAAAAACTATGATATATAATAGACTGGCGGATTTCAAATTCCAGCAAAAGAAGCAAGGACAACAGAACGACAGTCCAAACATGTGAGACATGAAAACAACAATAAGAAGAAGAACGTAAGGACTGTCGGTCGGGTCGCGCGTTCCCAGTGTCCGGCGAGTTGTCATTCCGTTTTGGCCTCCGAATTTTCACACCATCCCTACTGACACAAAATATAGTGATGTCCTTCTGTTGTCGTTGTGTACGTATGTCCTCTAAAAAAAACACACACACAAAAAAAAACTATGAACCCGCATGTATCCCGAGCTCAGCCCCCCCCCCCACGAAAAAAAGAAACACCCTCTTAAGCGGTTGGAAATAGTGGACCAAGTAGAACAAAGCGATCTAGATGTAGTGGGGATCCAAGAGACGTTGGAATTGAAGGATGGTGACGTGGTAAGCAAACTAGGGAAATACCGGTGGGTAGGGAAGGCAAGAAAGGGCTTAGACCCGAAGAAAAGGGGGGAGGGGGGAGTCGGATTCCTGGTCAAGGAACACTTGTTTGACGTGGTGGAAGTAGTGGTGAAAACGGAATTCGAGGAAAGCCTCTGGCTAAAGATACCTGGGGAGCGGGGTGAGAAAGACTTGTTTCTAGGGAACGTATACGTCCCACCGTCGTCGAAGAAAGTCGCAAGCAAGGCGCAGGAGAACTTTGGACAAATTGGGGAAGATGTCCAGAGGTTCAGTAGGAA